AGGTGGTTCACAGCTTTCCAACGTAGTTTCCTGCTCGATTTTCTCATATGAATTCCCGTTCAACGTTTCATCCGTTTTCAAACCATTTTCGTGTAGTAACGGCTTTCGTTGGGTCACGGCATATTCCTCGGGTAAAGCTTCTTCCACGGGGGGCATTTCATCCGGTATCACTGTTCCTGTCGGAGTCTCTTCCGCCGATAAGGGTTCAACACCTGAAAAAGGTTTTTCTTCCTGCGGAGTATGTACTTCCGGTTGGGTATTTACTACCGGTGGGGCACTTACGTCCGGTGGGGTACTTACATCCGGTGGAGAACTTACTTCCGGTGGGGAACTTACTTCCGGTGGGGCACTTATTTCTGGTTGGCTATTTACCTCCGGTGGGGTACTTGTGTCCGGTTGGGTATTTACTTCCGTTTCGGTACTTTCTTCCGGCAGGGTCCCTTCTCCCGGTAGGGTACCAACTTCCGGTCCGGAACTTTCGCCCAGTTGGGTATTTTCTTCCGGTAAGGTACTTTCTTCCGATAGGGTATTTTCAGCCGGTGGTGATTTCCCCTGGGTTTCTTGAGGCTTAATTTGGTCATGTGGTGCGGTTTTGTCCATGACATCGAAATAATTTTCGTCAGTAAAGAAAGGATGTTGTATGAGTTGGTTAGCCGTGGGACGTGCACCGCCGTTTAGGGCAAGAAGGTACGCCAACATGAATGATATGGCTTTGCTCTAGAAAGTAGCAAGAGGTTTAACCAGTGAACTCTATGGAAACTGGAACGCTAAATCCAATGTTCAAGTCATATGATTGGCTGAAGCGAAATTTCAAGTTACGCGCAGGAAAACGCACCACAGCCTTCAAAGTTTGCTGTTGAGCGAGGATAAGAAAAACTATTTATATTTGAAGGCTTCAATGGCCGATTCCAGCAATAGTATAAGTTTTGATCTAGGCAAGAAGAACAAAATCCATCACCACAGCTAGAAAGAGCATGTTAAAATTAGTAAAATTGCAAAGTTTGGTTGGGAAATGTTGTAAAATGAGGAAAATATAGCCCTGCGAAATTTGCAAATTTTTCGGCTCAAACCATAGATATCTTATATATAAGATATCTATGGCTCAAACGTGGTGTATTTTCCCGTTTGTAATACAAATTAATACAAAATTTGCAAATTTCGCAGGGCTATATTTTCCTCATTTTACAACATTTCGCAACCAAACTTTGCAATTTTACTAATTTTAACATGCTCTTTCTAGCTGTGGTGATGGGTTTTGTTCTTCTTGCGTAGATCAATATTTCTTTCCTACGAGGTGTTAGTTTCGGCTCCACATTGTCATGGTTTCAAGACAACGATACGGATTCACATTTATTTGTCTTTTGCTTCTGACTTGCATTAGGGCAAAAGCTCTACCCTACTCAAATAAAGTTTTTCATACTCATTTTCATACGTATTGAGTATGAAAACCTATTTTCAAAACAGTTCTTAAGACTTCAACGTTAAAAATCATGAGACATTTCTTCATAGTAACTTTAAATATTTACCGTAGAATGTTTCTGTAAAGATGTCATGTCCCTCGGCACCGGTTCATCGCCTAAAAAAACCTGCAAAGGACAAAATTTGTTTACTCATAGTCTATGTTACTCATAATCTCGGTGAGAAAAAGTTCATTTGCTTCTAGTCACGCTTAATATCGCAGTCAGTCAACAAGATGTGTTCGCACTGCTTGTTCCCAGTTGTTGACAAGTCTGGAACAAGTTGTTATCATCTTGTAACAAAGTTGATGAGGCCAACAGACTCGCAACAAGTTGTTCCAACAAGTCTGATATCGTCTGCACGTAACAAGTTGTTAACAAGTTGATGACAACAAGCTCGTAGCAACTTGTTACGAACAGCTTGCATTAGTCTTGTTGGAACAACTTGTAGCAAGTCTGTTACCGTCATCAACCTTGTAACAAGATGATAACAACTTGTTCCAGACTTGTCACAACAACTGGGAACAAGCAGTGCGAACACACCCTGATATCGGCTTCACAACAACCTTGTTACAACTTGTTTGTAGATCTGTAACAAATTTTGACGTGTTTTTACTTGTGTATCGTTACCCCCTCCCCCCGTTACGGGTCTTAAGGCCCGGTCATTATTTATGGCGAGGGGTAGCACCGAAGAGATAAGGGTTGGGTAAACAACTCGTCTTGTGACATTCCTGTTATACCACGACTGTATCAGACTTGTTCGAACAACATTGTAACAAGTCTGATAATGCCATCAAGCGTGTTACAAGCTGTTAACAGCTGTCAACAAGTTGTGTTCGCACTGCTTGTCCCAAGTTGTCAACAAGTTTGGAACAAGCGTTAACAACTTGTAACAACCTTGTTGATATTATCAAACTTGTTGCAAGGTTGTTCCAACAAGTCCGATACAATCATGATATAACAATATTGTTATAACCTTGTGTCGTCAACCTTGTAACATTCTTGTTATATCATGGCTGTATCAGTCTTGTTGGAACAACTTTGTAACAAGTCTGATAATGCCATCAAGCTTGTTACAAGTTGTTAACAGGTTGTTCCAAACTTGTCACAACAACTGGGAACAAGCAGTACGAACACATCCTGATATCGGCTTCACAACAACCTTATTACAACTTGTTTGCAGATCTGTAATTTTTACGTTTACGCGAGTAGTAAAACGTAAAAACGCACAAGTTGTTACAAATCTGTTCACAAACAGTCGACAAGTTGTGTTCGCACTGCTTGTTCCCAGTTGTTGTAACGAGTTTGGAACAAACTGTTAATAACTTGTAACAAGCTTGATGGCATTATCAGACTTGTTACAAAGTTGTTCTAACAAGTCCGATACAGTTATGATATAACAAGAATGTTACAACGTTGACCACACAAGGTTGTAGCAACATTGTTATATCATGATTGTATTGGACTTGTTAGAACAACCTTGCAACAAGTCTGATAATATCAACCAAGTTGTTACAAGTTGTTAACAGCTTGTTCCAAACTTGTTGACAACTTGGGACAAGCAGTGCGAACACAACTTGTTGACGGCTTGTTGGCAGACTTGCTACAAGATGTGAGATTTTTGCGTGTGCATCACACTAAATAGCAATAACATAATTTATTATATGGCTTTTCAAAATTCTCTATTCTGATTGGTTGACAAGCTGTCCGTAAAAACCCATATCCGGACCGTGGTCCGTATTTTCCGTATCTGGACCGGTGTCCCGGATGTCGTTTATCTGGCGGGAAATTTTTGTTTTGCAAACAGAAAAAAATTTTGCTTTCCAATTTTCCAATTGTGTGTCATTAAAATTTACAGATAAAAATTTCAAAAAACCAAATTGTTTTTGATTGAGCATGCATGCCTACCGTATATTGTTACCCAGTGAAACTGACGAAACTGTGCTGCGTGGTTATATTATAAGCAGAAACTCGACGTTTCGAGCGAAGGCCCTTCGTCAACATTTTCACATTGGTACTACACACAGCATTTTCACATTGGTACTACCAACACGGGTACAGACAGTTTTAGTATATATAAACTGACGATAGCCGATTTAATTCGCGCGAAAAGCATATGCTCACAGACTCAGTTCAGCCATATAATAAACCGATTATTGACCTCGCTTGTTCGGTCTGTACTGTGAAATATCAGACCTCTGTCTTTTTTTTTCTGACTAAAAAACCTCGGTCTGATATTTCACAGTACAGACATCACGCTCGGTCAATAAGCCGTTAATACGTCTGACTTTAAATCACTCCTTGGACGGTCACTTGACGGACTCGACCGAAAGGTAATAAATTTTGAAAACGAAAATGAGATTGGATACATTATTTTGACACACATTTTTTTCACACTAAATCACAAAATGGCACACAACGTAAAAGTTAATAAACACGCAGAATGTTTTTCCTGTCAATACGACTTCATTGCCCACGAATTCGAAGCGGTCAATTCGTATCACTCTATTTGCTAAGAGAAAAGAAAGTTACTGTTATTTTCAGGATGGATAGATTATTCCAGCTATCGAGTAATTTTTATCTAGACAAGAAGGACGAAATCTATCATTATAGCTCAAAAGAGCATCCTAAAATTATAGTCAAATTGCAAAGTTTGGTTGCGAAATGTTGTAAAATACAAAAAATATAGAATACTTTTGAGCCGAAAGTGGTTGCATTTTCCTTCGCGTAATACTAAAATACTCAAAATTTGCTAATTTTACAGGGCTATATTTTCGTATTTTACAACATTTCGCAACCAAACGTTGCAATTTGACTAATTTTAGGATGCTCTTTTGAGCTATAGTGATAGATTTCGTCGTCCTTGTCTAGATAAAAAATGTTTTGGGGACAAATCGTGACTGCGTCTGACACCAATACACTCGGGTCGGACAAACAATAAACCTCGACAGAATGTCCGAGGGTTTCCTCTCTACGTCGGATAATTTCAAGAATGGTTCGGACAGCCGATTGACTGATTGAACGCTTTTCGCATGTGAAGAAAACATCAACATACTCTGAAGGTGCATCCACACCGGGCAAGCTGAAAAGTTTGCATGATCGCGGTGGGAATCGAACCTACGATACTAGTCCAATGCTCTGCCAACTGAGCTACGAGGTCAAGTCGGTTCAAGTTGGTGATATTTCGGTATAGTGTATACTATAGTATTCCAAAGGTCGCGGGTTCAATTCCCACCGTGCTCAGGCAAACTTTTCAGCTTGCCCGGTGTGGATGCACACTCAGAATAACATCACAAACATCATATTCACCTGAGTACATAACACCAACACACACAAAAAGTATCATATCTTAGAATACATTGATATCGAAGGAACTAGATTCAGTTTCGAAATATCACCAACTCTAACCGACTCGACCACGTAGCTCAGTTGGCAGAGCATTGGACTAGTATCCCAAAGGTCGCGGGGTTTGATTCACACCGTGGTCAAGTTAACTTTTCAGCTTGTCCGGTGTGGATGCACACTTAGAGTAACATCACAAACATCATATTCAACACACACAAAAAAGTATCAACATACTCACCACCCAGGCAATTTCACCAAGACAGAACATATCAAAAATCGGAGAAGTATCACAAGAGACTGGAACGGAGTTCTGTAGCAATAATTCAGCCGTCGTAGACACGCGTTTTTTCTAAAAAAATAAACATATTTCTAGTCATAGCTGTGTTAGAGCGCTCAGGGTTCGTAGTCTCCAAGACCAAAACAATTCAAAGACTTTCAAAGATTTGTTCTGCCTATTTTCAAAGACTTTTCAAAGACCTTTGAAGGCAATCAGCTGTCGAAAAATTGCGAGTGTAAACCCAGTAATTAGTCCCGTCAAATCACATCCTAAAATGCGCCTTTTCGTTGATCTTTGCGAAAATTTTGCTTCAATCAATCTATTTTATTAGCTAGGAAATCGTATAATTAAATACTCACTAAAGAATTTAAAGACTTTTAAAGTGACTTTCTTCGCTTTTTCACACAATTCAAAGGCTTTTCAAAGACCTTAAAGACCTGCATTCAAATTTAAAGACTTTCAAGGATTTCAAAGACCGCTACGAACCCTGACGCTGCACCGAAATCGCAGGGCCGCAGATTCGATTCCTGCCAGAGGGGCTGCAGTTGAAGTAATATCTCAAACCAGAACGAATGGACCTATTCCCTAATGAACAGAATTTTGATCTAGACAAGTCTAGACAAACATTTCACCACAGCTTGAAAGAGCATCACAAAATTAGTAATATTCCGAACTTTCGTTGCGAAATGTTGTAAAATGCGGATAATATAGTCCTGCGAAGTTTGCCGTTTTCCAGTCATTTTGTATTACTCACCGGAAATTGATACCTTTTTTCAGAAAGCGGTATCAATTTCCCGCCCGTAATACAAAATGACTGAAAAACGGCAAACTTCGCAGGGCTATATGATTCGCATTTTACAACATTTCGCAACAAAACCTCCGAATATTACTAATTTTGTGATGCTCTTTCAAGATGTGGTGAAATTTTTATCCATACTTGTGTCGATCAAAATTTTGTTCATTAGGGAATAGGTCCATTTCCATCCAGAAATCCCTCTTATATTTCTAGACAGACCAGTCGAAATACGTTCTACTTACAGTGTCATGGATAAAACAATATTCTCCTAATATTCCTCTGCCATCATTATCGATATAAATATTGTCCATCAGAACTGAACCATGGGTAATGACAGCATTCTGTAATGCGAATAGTGCACCTACGATGTCACAAATCACGTCGCGTTTAGCCTAAAATTAGAATAGTAATTACCAAATCATCTATAAATGTTATGAGCTGCAGAACTGATAGAGCTATCCTGTATAAACAAAGTTAATTTAGTTCTGTGGTAATACTGGATCAATAAGAGATGATTCTTACTGCACCTCCAGGAAGAACAGTTAAGAACTGATAGAACTATCCAGTATAAAAAAGTTAGTTTAGTTTAGGTTTCCTTTTGTAGTAACACTGGATCAATAAGGGATGACTCTTACTGGACCTCTAGGAAGAACAGTTTAGAACTGATAGAGCTATCCAGTATAAATAAAGTTAGTTTAGTTTAGGTTTCCTCCTGTAGTAACACTGGATCAATAAGAGATGATCCTTACTGGACCTCTAGGAAGAACAGTTTAGAACTGATAGAGCTATCCAGTGTAAATAAAGTTAGTTTATATTAGGTTTCCTCCTGTGGTGACACTGGATCAATAAGAAATGATCCTTACTAGACCTCTAGGAAGAACAGTTTAGAACTGATAAACTATCCAGTATAAATAAAGTTAGTTTAGTTTAGGTTTCCTCCTGTAGTAACACTGGATCAATAAGAGATTATCCTTACTGGACCTCCAGGAAGAACAGTTTAGAACTGATAGAACTATCCAATATGAATAAAGTTAGTTTAGGTTTCTTCCTCTAGTAACACTGGATCAATACGAGATGATCCTTACTGGACCTCTAGGGAAACCAGTTTAGAACTGATAGAGCTATCCAGTATAAATAAAGTTAGTTTAGTTTAGGTTTCCTCCTGTTAACTGAAGAGTTTGGCACAAATTTCAACGAGGTTCAACACTTTGATCAGTCATATATTGTCATCAACTAAATATCAGTGATCTAACCATGTGAAACATCATTTCAAAGTGCCACAGCGCCTCATCTGATCATTATTCTGAAGAAAATGCTCACTTTCTTTGAAGGAAATGCTCACTTTCTTGGCGAGAATAACGAGGAAAATTTACAAATGTGAAAAAGAGCAATTCGAGTATTGTGACGTTTTGTATAAAAATATGGCCACCGTGCAATTTACACAAGAATATTTAGTATCTGGATCAATGACCGCCATTTCTTTCGAGGCCTGGGCCTTATCCAGTATAAATATTAGTTTCGTTTCGACGATTGCCTAGTGCCTACCTCAACAATTGTCTCCTCTTTCGGCGCCAGACTTTTCTCGACATCTTCCTTCATTCGTCGTAACATCATCGGTCGCAGTAGCTGCAAGATGTAAGAGAGACATGAAATATACAATACCCCATTATAGACTAATTTTAAAACTAAGCAAGGAGATGCAAATAAATCACCAGAGCTAGAAAATATAGCCTTGCAACGTTTGCAAATTTTGTATTGCGTGCGGAAATTGCAACTACATTTGGGCCGAAAATGGTAGCAATTTCCGCACGCAACACAAAAACAAAATTTGCAAACTTTGCAAGGCTATATTTTCTGCATTTTACAACATTTCGCAACCAAACTTTGTAATTTTACTCATTTTAGTATGCTCTTTCTAGCTGCGGTGATTTATTTGCAGTTGTTTCAACCAAAACAAGGACAGTTTATCGTATAGAATACTATATACACACACGCGTCTACTTACAGCTTGTAGTCTTTCAACTTGTGCTTCAGTCCTAAGATTTCCAAACTCCATTAGAAAAGCACCTTGCGATGGAAACTGAGCTGGCTCGAGGAAATTCAACAAACTGAACAGTTCATCAACGTTGTTTTGTAATGGCGTGCCGGTTAGTAGAATTCTGTGTTCCTACAACGATCAGAATTGAGTCAGAGGTGTAACTTAACACTCGCCCGGGGCAAGTGAATATCATGACGGGCAAGTAAACGTTTTATCTTGCTCTCAAAACGTCGAAGTTTTGCTTGTATTTTTCTAGTAGTTGTACCTAGCTGTCCTACTTTAAATATATTTCCTGTTGAAAGGTAGCCGGCAACGGATTGGCCTCATTAGCAGCCTCTTATGTGTACAAGAACTTCGTCATGAGAACAAAGTCAGAACACTGTTTAAATCACTGGCCAGATGGATAAGATGACTTGTTTTCAACATTCCCTCGAAATGTCAAAGTAGAAATATTGAATACTACCTACACTGGACCACTACGTTTGAGATATCTTTTTCAGGTGGTTCAGACACAAACCACGACAGCTTATTGTAGAATACTACCTACACTGGACCACCACGTTTGAGATATCTTTTTCAGGTAGTTCAGACACAAACCACGACAGCTTATTGTAGAGTACTACCTACACTGGACCTCTACATTTGAGATATCTTTTTCAGGTAGTTCAGACACAAACCACGACAGCTTATTGTAGAATACTACCTACACTGGACCTCTACATTTGAGATATCTTTTCAGGTGGAATTCAGACACAAACCACGGCAGCTTATTGTAGAATATTACCTACACTGGACCACCACGTTTGAGATACCTTTTTCAGGTAGTTCAGACACAAACCACGACAGCTTATTGAAGAATACTACCTACACTGGACCACCACGCCTGTTTTAAACAGCTTACTCAAAGGAAAGAGCTTTCACAAATTGTATATTTTGCTTACCATCTGTAAATTGTTTAATCCCTCAAGGAGTTTACAATTTCTGTTCTTTAATCTATGGGCTTCGTCAATCACAACAGCTCTCCATGGTACGCTGCTCAACAAAATGTTATCCGCTACAAAAAGAATATAAATATTACTTATTGAAAACATTATCTTTCTCAAACGTTTGTAAAATGTTAAATTTTTGAAATGTACACAAAATGTCACCAACCTATTAGAATTTCGTACGTCGTTATCAAAACATTGAATTTGTACAGGCCAATCACTGGTTCGCCCTTCAAATTAAAGAAAATTAATAAATTTATTGCATACATATTAAACAAGTATGTGTTTACGGAAACCAGAAATTTTTTGGGGATCTACATTTTGCTGAAATTTTCATACATTTTTTTATGTTTGGTAACTAATTCTAAAAATTACACTGATTGAATGCCTAAATTACTAAATACCTGATTATTGAAATGATTGGATACCTAATAAATCTCCTAACTCGATACCTAAATTACAGTGGAACAGTTTGGAAGGAAAATATTCATATAGCCTATACAGTGGGAAATGTGTTTTTAATCCTATAAGACTGTATACTATACGACTACTTCAGCATGTATCTTGTATACCTTATCAATCTTGAAGACATATTGCTTCATACAAGGTAAAAAAGACAGATCCCTATCATATTAGCTATATTGTAATCTTTTGCAGAAAATTCTGAGCCCTAAACCCAGGTTCCCACCCAGAAAGAAAAAAAAACATTGTTCCCATTTGCAGCGAGTAACAAATCCGTGGACTTCTCTTAGAGACTTACCTGAGGTCCACGAAAATAGAACTCGTATTGTTGAATCAGATGTCGACTTGCAGCGCTATTGAATAAAACAGAAGTTTTTAATTATAGCTTGGTAATAAACGACACGAGATTTCATTCATTGTTAAACAGGGTGCTAGCCAGAAGATTAAAAAATTCGGCAATTTATTGAAATTGGGAATTTCAGTTAGCCTGCGACATTATTCAGACCGAAGTTTAAGAAATATCGTGTTTCTTAAGTGACGTTCTCGTGGCCTAGCGCCAGCTAAATTGAAAGTTTTGAAGTGCGAGTCACCTGACATTGTTTTGCGTACTAAAAACAGACAAATATCTATATTTTAGGCTACACGACATCCTCGCAACACTTATCTGGCACCCAATTTTTCTTCACCAAAGTTTTGACACGTTGAACAATCTTTTATACATATAATAGTTACATTTTTGGCTGGTCTAAATTGTGAAATTGCTGGCTAAACGTAATTGTGAAAATGGCGTACAGTATAACGCCGATTTTTTTACTGTAGCTACTACACCCTGTTAAAAGCAAAGTGATTGTACCTTCCGTGATGAACCACAACGTTCGTATCACCCCAAGATTCAAATTCTCGCTGCCAGTTTGCGATGGTCGAAAGGGGGGCGATGACAAGGAACGGCCCACGAATGCCATATTGCTAGGGAAAAACATTAGAGAACTTAGCATTGACGTTTACGACGGACCGCTAAATTATACCATAGTCCAAGGGCGGATTTACCGGTGGGGCGCAGGGGGGGGAGCAACCCCCCCCCCCACCACCACCACCGCTAATGGTGTCCAGCACCAGGTATAATTTTTTTGAAAATTTGACATCAGAAGGAAGGCAGCAACATGGTAGGTTCATCAGAAATGATCAGATCAACGTGACTCATGCCTTTTCATCATGTGTCTTTCAAACAGATTCCGTTTTTTCCTCACAGAAAAATCGAGTTGTTTATCGAGTTGCTCACTCATTGGTGAGTGGATTTTCCAACAGGCTATTGCTATGTTGGATTTTCCAACGTCCTTATCCAAGAAGACGCTGAAGTCTAACCATTTACTGATGTCAATGTAAAGGTAGCTCTTTCTCCTCGATTATTTTAAGACCTTGAGTAGAGGTCCGATCAAGGATTGAACCCGGGTCTTGGGACCACGACACAACGAGAGAGCTGGTTAACCTTCACAGGTGGAGCGTGCCTACGCCTGCAGTAGCAGCCTCAACGGTACGGTACAACGCTCTAACCACATCTATCACGTGTGCCGCTAGAAGATATCACGTGTCTTACCATGACGTGAATAAGAAATGCCAGACTTTGAATCGTTTTTCCAAGACCCATCTCATCAGCGAGAATACAGTTTTGTCTAAATAGAGCAATCATAGAATTTATTCACAAAGATACATGTGTGCGCGTCAACACGCACGAGTTCTTACAGATCTTCAAGTTGTAACAAGATTGTTGTCAAGTCGATATCAGGATGTGTTCGCACTGCTTGTTCCCAGTTGTTGTGACAAGTCTGGAACAAGTTGTTATCACCTTGTTACAAGGTTGATGACGGTAACAGACTTGCTACAAGTTGTTCCAACAAGATTAATACAGGCTGTTCGTAACAAGTTGCTACGAGCTTGTTGTCATCAACTTGTTAACAACTTGTTACGTGCAGACGATATATCAGACTTGTTGGAACAAATCTGTGGGCCTCATCAACCTTGTTACAAGACGATAACAAGTTGTTCCTGACTGGGAACAAGCAGTGCGAACACATCTGGTTGACAAGCTGCGAGGATTTTTACGCGTGTATTTTCTTGCCAAGGGAAGAGTCCTATGTTAGAATAGCGTTCAAAAGCACAACATACCCGTTATACCAGCAAAATGTTAGCCAGTTCAAGCCCTCAAGTTGATATTCTCGTAAGGTGTTGGAGTTCTTAAACATCGGAGATTTATCGAGTTTTCGCCATTCGCTAGGGTGTGGACGTCGACGGAACTGAAAAAAACATCAACGTTATAACTATTCACTCGGGGGTTTTTTCAGCCGATATTCGTTTTCGTTATAAGAACCACCTTATCCTAAAATAACAAAGCTCTCACCTGTCTTTCATGCGGCGGGGGAGCCACTTGGATACTTCGAAATCTGTTCACGGATTGGTTGTCGACATCAGCCTAAAAAGATCGTTATTTTATATTTTATGCATTACCAGGCTATCAAGTTATTTAAATGACATTGGCAATAAAACAATAGTTTAGTTCATTTGAAAGAACTCTTAAAACTATATATTACAGTCGTGCCAATAGGAGCTTTCCGAAAAATGTTGACCAATTCATTTCCTAACTTCGAGGAATTCCTCTGAACAATTCCTCAACAATTTGATAAGTTCCTTAAAAAGTTCATAACTTCCCGTTTCATTGACCAATCAGAATTTATATTTTATTTTTGAGCAATCTGATTGGTCAATGAAACAGGAAGTTAGGAACTTTTTAAGGAACTTATCAAATTGTTGAGGAATTGTTCAGAGGAATTCCTCGAAGTTAGGAAATGAACTGGTCAACATTTTTCGGAACGCTACTATTGGCACGACTGTAAACTCTATTACAGACTGTTTATATCTTTTTTGCTTAGTTTTCAAAATATTTCGATTGAAAAAAGTGAGCTGTTCGCCATCTTGGATTATTGAGGATATGCATGTTACGTCAAGAGAGGGGTCACGCTAATTTTTTATCTCGAGAGTAAGCGATCAATATGGGTCCAAAACTTCGTTTCTGGTTGCTGTCTGAAATTTATAGAAATGGTTAAAAACATTTCAAACAATTTTGAATTGTTACTCGGTCATTTTAGAGTAGTTTTATATGGTTAACCCAACTCTTGACGTCATCAAAACCATAGTTAATGAGGTCAAGAATTAGTCCAAGATGGCGAACAGCTCATTAATTTCGGTCTAAATATTTCGATAACTAAGCAAGGTATGACAAATCAGTAATAGAGTTTAATACATAATTTTAAGAGTTCTTTTGAATGAGACAAACTCATTTTTTATTGCCAATGTCCTGGCAGCCAGCGTTTTGGAGCCAGCGATTGAGGCAAGTTGCAAACGACCTAATTTATTCTCAAATGTTGCGATTAATAACGTCGCGTTATACAATTCACTGTTTCCTGTTGAAGCCATTTTTCAACGTGATATGCAAATTACGAAAAAAAATATAGAATAAATCATGATATTTGGTGTGTTGGTGTAGTGTACTCAGGTGAACAAGATGCTTGTGATGTTACTCTGAGTTAGAATCGACCTGACCGCGTAGCTCAGTTGGCAGAGCATTGGGCTAGTATTCCAAAGGTCGTAGGTTCGATTCCCACCGTGGCCAGGCATATTTTTCAAGCCTGCCCGGTGTCCCAGCAGATTTGGACTCCCCTCAAAATGGACCCCCCGGTCCAAATCCGCTAGCGAATATGAACCGGGGAGTCCATATCCGCTAGCGAATATATGGACCTATGGGGGTCTTTATTCGCTAGCGGATTTGGACTCCCCTCGCGAATTTGGACCCCTCGCGTATTTTATCATTGCAACGTACTGTATTTTGAATATTGCACTGAAAGCGTTTTAAATCGTCATAAATCTCATCCGATTTATTTTAAAAACCGTACGAAGATTTTTAGATCATCAAATCTTAGATTTTAACATTAAAGAATCCCGTCAAAGTTTATGATTGGTTTATTTCTATGATCTTGGAATGTGCGAGAACTGAGAAGCGCATGAAGCCTTCACAAGTATTTTACTCCTTGGAATTGCTATCTGCTCTGACTCTTAACTGCTCAAATAAAAACGGAAAATGAAAATATGTTTCAAATTATTTTTGCTTTAACATACGCATAACAAAGTGATGCATTCCATTCAACATTTCAACCCTAAACTTTTATAAAATTAGCATCTCAATACTTGTTTTCGTCATTAAGCAAATTCCAAGATAGTTGAGTCATGCCATTAGTTATCATAATTTCAATTAAACTGACGCCTAAATTTCCATGCACACTCAACTGCAAATCGTTTCAAAACTTCTTTTTGTGAATTTTAGGGGGTCCAATTCCGCGGAAGGGGGTACATATCAGCTAGCGGATATGTACCGTAGGGGTCCGAATCCGCTAGCTGATATGGACCGGGGGGTCCATATCCGCGGGGAGTCCAAATCTGCTGTGACACCGGTGTGGATATACACTCAGAGTAACATCACAAGCATAGAATAAATCATGTCCGCGATTTCTGGCCACGAAGAAAAGAAATACAACGACAAATAAACCCACAAAACATACCTCTACTTCCCACGTGCTTTCATCGTAAGCCAATGATCGCCATTTCACCAAATAATGACTCACAGGCTAAAAATGAACATCAAATTTTACATAACGGGACTCAAGATAACAGCCGGTCAACGGACAATAATGACCGGCCAAAAATACATCTTGACCGGTCACTTTTTTACCTCGCCGATGTGATTGCTGATGTCTTGAATGGACCTATTACCTAATGAACAAAATTTTGATCTAGACAAGTCTAGACAAAAATTTCATTACAGTTTGAAAACGCATCACAAAATTAGTAATATTCTAAAGTATCGTTGCGAAATGTTGTGGAATGCGGATAATATAGGCATATAGCCTTGCGAAGATTGCCGTTATTTAGTCATTTTGTATTACGCACGGGAAATTGATACCGCTATCTGAAAAAAGGTATCAATTTCCCGTGCGTAATACAAAATGACTGAAAAACGGCAAACTTCGCAGGGCTATATTATCCGCATTTTACAACATTTCGCAACGAAACTTCGGAATATTACTAATTTTGTGACGCTCTTTCAAGCTGTGATGAAATTTTTGTCCAGACTTGTCTAGATCAAAATTTTGTTCATTAGGTAATAGGTCCATTAAAACATGAAACTATGATGTATCGAAACAAGTTTCTAATAGTTTGTTTCACTGTTAGTGTAAGCGTATCAATGATCGGAGACCATCTCCCGTTATTTGAGCCCTGCATAAACGTAAATTACGTGCAAGGTGCCTTGCTACAAGTGCAAACACCAACTAACCGATCAACCCACAACCAAAATTAGGGCTTGAATTTTATCGCAGCAATCGCGGCAATTGCCGTAGTGGGAGAACAAAATGCTGTGGATTATTGCGGCAAGGACGGCAATTTTTTGCCGTATTGTGCAATTTTTTATACTATTCACTGTACATTACTATTTTGATACTTGAATTCAGATGTTGATCAAATTATGCGTAAATTACTATTTTAGTCTCAGTTTTCTTCGAAAAACTAAAATACGTAAACATGTTTCTAGCTTGTCAACAATCCAAAGTAACAATAAAATTACACTAACAATAACTTGAAAAAATGCCGTGGAACGGCGTGCCAAAATTGCCGTAGACAGCTGTTACGTTCTACGGAAATTTTTAACGCCATTGTCGTCGATTGATTTCGGGGAAATTCGAGGCCTGACCAAAATACGTACCGCTCCAGTTTGATCGACGCCTGTCGAGACGTCCAGAACTCGGTCAACCTCGACGTAATCAGGATTGAATGGTTCATCGTCAATCTAACACGGAATTAAAAGAAGCAATTAGACAATTCTCATTATAGAGTAATCTTAAAACTATAGGCAAGGAGGTGCAAATAAATCACCACAGCTAGAAAGAGCATACTAAAATGAGTAAACTTGCAAAGTTTGGTTGCGAAATGTTGTAAAATGCGGAAAATATAGCCTTGCGAAGTTTGCAAATTTTGTATACTTTTGTATTGCGTGCGGAAATTGCTGGTATTTTCGGCCCAAATGTGGTAGCAATTTCCGCACGCAATACAAAAGTACGCAAAATTTGCGAACTTTGCAAGGCTATATTTTCCGCATTTTACAACATTTCGCAACCAAACTTTGCAATTTTGCTCATTTTAGTATGTTCTTTTACGGGAATATACTTTTTTTGCCGAGATAAAAAATTAGTCTATAATGGGAATTGTCTATTATGATATGCCGGTCCCACCTAAATGCTTTCTGAATACGGTAAAGAAAATCAACAAGTTTTCTGACAGTGGTAACATCCAAAGGTACATCAAATATAAAAATATAGGTACATTCTCACGAGTTTACATACACATTTAAAAATAGATAAAAATACATTCACATTAGAGAATTCTGGTATAAAAATAGGTACGCTAAAGTGTACACTCACTTCATCAGGAAATGGCATTGTGCTTCTTTTTATGAAGAATCTTTTAATCTTCATTTGAACTCGTTTATCAAGCTGCATTAGCTTCTCAGCTGTCGCCCACTCAGAATGAAGATAAGAACTAACAAGAAACGAAACACAACAGTAAGAATGGCCGACAACTTGCATGTCAGACTAAATTTTAATCTAAGTAAAGAGAAGGGAATCAAACACCACAGCTTTATAGAACATCATGAAATTAATGAAATTGCAAAATTTGCTTGCAAAATGTTGTAAAGCTTGGAAAATATGGCCTTGCAAATTTTGTATACGTTTGTATTACGTGCGGAAATTGTTACCATTTTTTTCTGTGTTGGTGTAATGTACTCAGGTGAATATCATGCTTGCGATGTTACTCTGAGTGTATATCCACACCGGGCAAGCTTGAAAAATATGCCTGACCACGGTGGGAATCGAACCTACGACCTTTGGAATACTAGCCCAATGCTCTGCCAACTGGGCTACGTGGTCTGGTCGAACTAGATTCTGTTCCGTAATATCACATAGTCGAACCGACCAGACCGCGTAGCTCAGTTGGCAGAGCATTGGGCTAGTATTCCAAAGGTCGTAGGTTCGATTCCCACCGTGGTCAGGCATATTTTTCAAGCTTGCCCGGTGTGGATATACACTCAGAGTAACCTCACAAGCATTATTAACACATAGTTTAACAGACCAATCAATTTTGTATGCTAAAGGATGTCCCTCCCATTATTCACGTCTATAAGTGACCTCACACATCACACCATCTCGAGGAGTACTTGTTAGTCTTGCTTTCACCCTATTAGTCTGACCAGGCAATAATCTGAACTGAAACTTCTGCAGCAATTTTGCAAGGATAACTTTTGATTCAAACTTGGAAAATGTCTACCCAATGCAATTACGAGGGCCAATAGAAAAGGGGAAATGGGTCATGCTAAAATTTGGAATGTTTTTGGTTTCAGAGAATCTTTCTGGGTCAAAAATGTCTGGATTCTCCCAAATTTCAGGATTCATTGAAAAAAATATCTGTAGACTGTCAATTCCATTTCCTTTTGGAATATGATATCCTCCAACTGTAATATATTTTGCTAGCACTCTAGAAGGTGCTGGTGCTACAGGATATTTTCTCAAAGATTCCTCCAAAACTTGACCAAAATACTTCAGTTTTGCCAAATCATCAAACTCCAGATAATCACGACCGTGAAGCACTTCGTTAACCTCGTTTAAAAGTTTTGCTTCAACATGGGAATTTCTAATAATTTCATACAAGGTAAATGACGATGAATTTGCAGTTGTCTCTTGTCCGGCAAGGAATATGGTCACAAACTCATCAATGATGTCATCCAATGTCAAACTGCCATCTTTAATCAAGAGACTCAATAAGTCATCGGGAACGGCTTTATCGTCAGCAATGTCCTTCATCCGAGTGGTGGTACAATCAGAGGCAAATTTTCTGAGAAATTGTGCTGCATCAATTTGCTCTCTTTTGATAGCATTCTGAAACAGTTTGAACTGGAATATTCCCAGGAGGGTGGGGTGGAGTGGAATATCAATGTTGTCCTGCACCCGCACAGATAGTGCCGTATTGCTCCTGGAATTGGTATCTTCAATAGCGTGGGTATTGATATTAAAGGACACTTGACTCATAGCTTCCAAAGTGACTTTTGTAAATTCCTGCAGCATACTGGTCGGCTTACCACCATCAACAACTCTATCCAGGTGAGTCATAAATATGTCACAAACATTATTAAAATTATCCATGAAGTCTTTCAGACACTTACGGTGAAAAGCTGGGTTCATAAGTTGCCGTCGTTTACGCCATGATGCTTCGTTTGTATTCGATACCAGTCCATAACCAGCTCCCCTCTCACCATAAACAAAACCAAATTTAGGATAGAAAAATGAACTTTTAAACAGGCTGGCGTGATTATTTATGTAATAGCATAGTTGCCCGGGTTTCTTTTGTTTCAACAGGGTCGATTACTAACTAATCGCCCGATGTAGCGGGCGATTAGTTCTAATCGCCCGCTAGAGCGGGCGATTAGAACTAATCGCCCGTTACCAAGGGTCACACCCAGGCGGTGTGCGCACTGCGACCGCAATGCATTATTTTGGATATTTTCTTAAAGATGGCGGATTTCTAGCACGATTAAAGGTATGTTGGCGCTCTATTTTCTGCCACGTTTTAAAGTTTAAACTTTTTGTTTTTTATTAAAAAG